GCTCGCCCCTGATTGCCGAGAGATCCGTGGTCTTGATCCACTTGATCTGGCCCTCAGAAGTCCCGGCCCTCGAAAGAGAAAAATTATCCTGGCGAAGGGCCCAACCATACGCAATTCCGAATGCCGCCGTTGTAAGTATCGTCGTTGGTGGAACACCCGATGGGGCCACGAAGCGTGTGAGAGGTGCGCCAAATGGAGGTGGAACTGCATGCGGACCCTGCAACTGGGGCCTTCGGTGGAGCACCCTGTGGGGCCGCGAAACGTGTGAGGGGTGCGCCGAAATGGAGGTGGAACTGCATGCGGACCCTGCCATTGGCGCCCTCGGTGGAGCTCACTATGGGGCCGCGAAACGTGTGAGGGGTGCGCCGAAATGGAGGTGGAACTGCATGCGGACCCTGCCACTTGGGCCTTAGGCGGAGCTCTCTATGGGGCCACGAAACGTGTGAGGGGTGTGCCGAAATGGAGGTGGAACTGCATGCGGACCGTGCCACTTGGGCCTTAGGCGGGGCTCCCTATGACGCCACGAAACGTGTGAGGGGTGCCGAAATGGAGGTGGAAACTGCATGCGGACCCTGCCACTTGGGCCTTCGGTGGAGCTCCCTATGGGGCCACGAAACGTGTGAGGGGTGCGCCGAAATCGGAACTGCATGCGGACCCTGAGGTGGAGCACTGGGGGTGAAATGGAGGTGGAATGCTGACATGGAGCTCCCTATGGGGCCACGACGTGTGAGGGGCGCCGACGCCGGACCCTGAACTATGGGGCCACGAAACGTGTGAGGGGTGCGCCGAAATGGAGGTGGAACCGCATGCGGACCTGACACTTGGGCCTTCGGTGGAGCTCCCTATGGGGCCACGAAACGTGTGAGGGGTGCGCCGAAATGCAACCATGCGGACCCTGGGGCCTTCGGTGGAGCTCCCTATGGGGCCACGAAACGTGTGAGGGTGCGTGCCGGTGACACTGGGGCCTTCGGTGGAGCTCCCTATGGGGCCACGAAACGTGTGAGGGGTGCGCCGAAATGGAGGTGGAACCGCATGCGGACCCTGACACTTGGGCCTTCGGTGGAGCTCCCTATGGGGCCACGAAACGTGTGAGGGGTGCGCGAAATGGAGGTGGAACCGCATGCGGACCCTGACACTTGGGCCTTCGGTGGAGCTCCCTATGGGGCCACGAAACGTGTGAGGGGTGCGCCGAAATGGAGGTGGAACCGCATGCGGACCCTGACACTTGGGCCTTCGGTGGAGCTCCCTATGGGGCCACGAAACGTGTGAGGGGTGCGCCGAAATGGAGGTGGAACCGTGCGCCGAAATGGAGGTGGAACCGCATGCGGACCCTGACACTTGGGCCTTCGGTGGAGCTCCCTATGGGGCCACGGAACGTGTGAGGGGTGCGCCGAAATGGAGGTGGAACCGCATGCGGACCTTGCCACTGGGGCCTTCGGTGGAGCTCACTATGGGTCCACGAAGCGTGTGGCCATGATGGAGACGGCGATGATGATGACGACGATGGTGATAAGAACGATGGTGGTTATGATGCTGATGATGACGGTGACGATGACGATGATGATGATGCTGATGATGAGAGGAGGAGGGAGGAGGGGGAGGAGGAGGAGAGGAGAGGACGCGGGCACCGTCTCTTCAAAACGAGGACCCAACACCACAGGATGGTTGGGAACTACATAAACATGACCTTTCGACGGTCCTCGCGGATTTCTTGGATCTGCGCTGGAGCGCCCTGGTGGCGCCTCCGGCGCCGCCCCTGGCGCGCTCCGCGCCCCAGGGAGGGGGTCCAGCGCGGAGCCAAGAAATTTGCGCGGACCTCCAAGTAGCTCAAGCCATTTTGGCTTAAGTAGCTCAAGGGGAGGACTCAAGCGCCGGGAATTCCAGGGGGGGTCCTCCGCGCCGGGAATCTTCCCCAGCTCTCCTACTCTCACTGTCCTACTCTCGCTGTTTGCTCGCGCGAGGTGGCAAAGCGCTCATGGCAAGGCAGTTTGTCAGCAAGTCCGAACTCAAGGACGCTCTTGACCCTCTTCGCTCCGAGCTTACTGAGTCCATCCAGGGCAACGCAACGGAGAATACAGAAAAGACCGTTACCGGGGTCAACACTATCGTCTCCCGGTCCATCACCAAGTTCACCGAGGAGAACAACAAACGATTCCAGAGCATCGAAACAAAAACCTGACCGATATGAACGAGCGCTTCGACCGCATGGAAGCGCAAACCACGGAGATGCTCGGCACGATCGCCAAGCTCACGAAGGAGATGGCCATCGCAGAGGCCAAGACCCAGATCGAAGTAGAGAAGCACAATGCCTTCGACCGCGACACCGACCCGACCATATTCCGCCTGAGTTGCACCGAGCCTGTCACGACTACTGCTATACAGGTTGCCGTGGAAGACTGGTTGCAAGCATCCGACATTCAAAAGGATAAGTATAGGTTGCTCGGCAACTCGGCCTGGCAAGAAGTTCGTCTTTAAAATCAAAGGAGACAGGGCTTTAGCATCGAGACGGTTGGAGAAGGCATTCGCTGGCTTACGAGTTGACGGGGAATGGCAACCATTTCACGTACAGACTCCTGCAGGTGCGGACGAACCACTTTACGTTTCAGTAGACAAGTCCTTGAAACGGATCCGGACTGAGATCCGGACCAAAAAGTTGTTGTCTTTAGTGAAGCAGCACTACCCTGACAAGCCATGGTATGCAGACAAGTTGAATGGAGAAATTTATATCGGTTCGACTCCTATAATCCAAGTTCTACCTGAGCCTGGAGACAAACCTACCACGCCACGCTGGAACTACGCCGGCGTGCACAATAATCACATCAACAAAGACCCGATCGCAATCGATTTCAAGGCAACGTTCAAGACAAAGGAGGAGGCCCACTGGGCCATCTAGCAGCGCACGCAGATCAAGAAGTACGACACAATGCATAAATTACATCCGATACCACACCATGTGCTATCAGTTCCGACTACCCTTCCTCTGCCTTCCCCCCGCCCCCGCTCGAGCACTTCATTTGGCAATGATGGTGGCAGAGGAGCTTATCAAAGCATTCCTGGTGATGTACCTCTCAACCTTGCCAGGACAAGACGACAATCTACCGACGTCCACTGCCGACACACTTTTACATAAGTCGCGACTACTTCGAGGCCGTCTTCTTCATATCAAGTTTCACCACCTTAATGTGCACCAGTATCTTCTACAGCTAGTTCGCCGACCTCTTCCAACGTCACACCCTCACGTACTCCTGACCAGAGTTTGATCACACAGAGCAATCATCATTGTCTCACCATTATCCATAAACATACACGAAGCTTGACGACGGACACGGCCATGAGTACATTACTACATGAATTGCGTCACCTCGAAAGGGATATATTGGCTACCAACGAAACGTGGAGGACAACACCACGAGAGATGTGGCTGACCGACCCCGAGAAGCACCTGTTTGCAGCATCCGGTCATTCAACCTCTTTCCGTGGAGCTGGGTTCCCCCTCAATCAACAACACGTTCAGCACGTACAGAAGTTCAAGCGGATCAGCGAGAGGATCGCTTGCATCGACACCAAAATATCACATCAACATCTGCGAATCAGCACGGCGCATTTCCCTCACAGCGGATACGGCGATGAGCACGTGCAGCACATGTACGATATCCTCACCAACCTTCTCAGAGAGGCTCAAAGACAACGACTGTCGACGGTTATAATTGGGGATGTAATGCGAAGGTTGGGGGAAGTGTCGATAGTGACGGCGACGACGAGAGTATAGGCAGACACACAACGCTGGGGAAATATGGAGCTGGCACGAGAAACTCTCGTGGTGCATGGTTACTTGGCTGGGCCTCCAAGGAAAGACTTACTCTGGCAAACACTTGTTTTCGCAAGCATTCCCACAACATATACACGTACATAAGCCCGGGACCGAACCCGACGAGATCCCAGATTGATTACATCTTTGTGGACAGGAACGTTCGCCCCAAGATGCTGGACTCCTTCTCTTGCAATTGCCCCGACCTCGGCTCCGACCACAAAGCAGTGCACCTCAAAGTGTCCATCGGTTCAAGGAGCACGACAAAACGAATGACTCTGGACAGAGAGAATCGACAACATGCACGCTCCCGCAGAACTCCGCAGCGAATTGACGCAGAATATCAGCACCATGTGGCCGAGCGATTGGCTGATGAGGCTCTACCAGTGGACGTTGGCGAGAGATGCGTCTACATTGAGGCTACTATGGCCGAAGCTGCAGAACGACTCCAACTTCAAAGACGACGTCAAGACCAGCACCACGACGACGACCAACACGAGCAAACTTGCAGACTGCACGAATTAATCGAACAACGCCGGAATACCGACTACGCAGATGGGAAGACTAGAGGTGCACTCCGCAAGATGATTTACAAGGAGACTCGTAGCGTCAAGAGAAAGAGACAGCAAACCAATATTGCCGATATCAGTGATAGTTGCGGTAACATCAAGCACATCACCAAATCCAAGAGAAGCCGAGCTAAGGAGTACATACCAAGCGCGACGATGGAAGATAGAGAAGAAGAAACCGACCGACAAGGGATTGCTGATATTTTTGATTATTTTGACGAGCAGCTTTACAAGAGCCGCGGCACTACCGGTGAGGAGTTGGACAAAGAGGTACCCCCGGAAAGCGACTGGAAACAGACGTCGTCGCTACTCGACGCCATGCCGCCCTTCAGTTTGAAAGCGCTCCGGCACGCCATCCACCAACTCAAGAATGGCAGGTGCCCAGATACTGCAGGCATCACCGCCGAGATGCTCAAGTCGGGAGGCAAGAGCATGGAGCAGCATCTCCTGAAGCTCTACGACGACTTCCTCCGACCCGAGCTGGGCCCGCCAAGCCAGCGGAGTCCAACGACGATCCGAGCCATTTACAATTTTGGGGATCCAGGGCTACCCAAAAGTTACAGACCAATTGCTATCATTCCTATGCTGTACAAGCTGATGGCGCGACTCCTTGGCAACAGACT